CGCGCTGGCATATTCAGGGCAACGGTAGATGTCTTCACCGTGAGACAAACATACCTGTAGACACTGCAGTAATGTTTGGAGGTGGGCTAGTCGGTGATGCATTGTAAACATAGAAATAAAACAGCGCAAACAAACACAAGGACAAGTAGAAGGAGGGACACAGACACAGCGCTGACTCACGACTTACTTACTTTCTCATCTTTTTAAAACATTTCAACATAAGAAAAAAAGAAATGAAAAATAAAAGAAGAAGAATCCAGCATGTAGGATATCCTCTCTGTCATATGCCATCTGAGGAATTTTTTACACAACTAAACATTATATACCATTACAACAAAAAAAAAACCGAATTAAAAAAAGCCAAAAACCACAGCGCGAGCCCTAATGCTCTGTGCGTACCTGTCTTGCACGCGGACTCTTGGTATGTCGGAACCCTTTCCTGGCTGCATGTAGGCACGCGCCTGTGGTTATAGGATCACTCCCATGGAAGCAGAAAGAAAGTGTTAAAGAGACGTGCCTAAACTCCGAAGAAACTCGAACTCTTCACTGTATAACGTCACTGACTCTGAACTGACGCATAGATCGGGACCGTGTTGTCGAATGTAAAACGCTTCATGAATTTCCCTTGCCATTTTTTGTGAATGTTTAGCCAAAATTTCAATGTCACTTAACCGAGGGGAACAACCACACCTATCACAATGAATGGCTAGGTGACCCGAAGGTGAAGACCTCAAAGACAGATAATGCTCCCGAGCTCGAACATTAATACATCTGCCCGTCTGCCCAATATACGCTTTCCCACATGAAAAGGGTATTTTATAAACGACCCCCACAGCACAAGCTACATATTTGATGCGATGGTTTATTCCACACCCTACACGCTGAAGTCCTGCTCTCTCAATGGACGCACACAAACGGGATAGCTTGGAAGGTGCTGAAAAGACTATGGGAACTCCGTATTTAACAGCCACTTTTTTGATCCTGTGGGAAAAACTGTGCAAATATGGTATTACCACCGGTCGAGAGGCAGGCTTTTGTCTAACATTGTCAAGTATGTTGTAAGCAGCTTGGTTTAGAAAGGCTCAGGAAGTCTGTCCAGGCGGCTCGTGGTCTCAATCTGGAGGTTTTCTTCTCTGTGAAGACCCATAAGGACACTATGCCGTTCAGGGCGATTGTTACACAGAAAGAGTCATGGCAGCTGCATGTCTCGAAGTATCTCCAGCATCACCTATCTTCTTTGAAGTTAACTGATCCTTTTTTAGTTCGAAACTCTGACGAATTGGTAGATTATCTAAGCAATGACAACCCTGGATCTTGTGATCTGGTTTCAATTGACGTGGAAGACCTTTTCTACTCTATCCCTCATGGAGGTCTCATTGAAGCGGTTCAACTTTCCATTGACTTAAACGGTTCTGTTGCCTTCCAGAATTCGACTGGTATTGCTGTGGAAAAGTTTTTGGATCTTCTCCGCTTTTACTTAGAGTCCACTTTTATTTCTTTTGAGGGCAACACGTTTCTGCAAAAATCCGGGATCTGCATTGGGTCTAGTGTTGCTCCCATATTGAGTGACATCTACCTAGCAGGTTGTGATTGTGCTATTGCAGAAAGGTTAGATGATCGTTTTTTGAAAGTCTTCAGGTATGTTGACGATTACCTGGTGGTGTTTAAACCTAAGCAGGGCTCACGAAGTGCTGACTTGGTCTCAGAGTTATTAGACACCTTTCGGGAGTGCTCTGGAGGTCTGCGGTTTACGAATGAGGTTCCAACTAAAAAAGCTTTGCAATTTTTGGACCTCAACATTCGTCTTGAAACGAGTCACCTATGCTGGGCTTATGAGCCTAGAACAAAAAAGTCCCTCCTTAGCTATGAATCAACGCACTCAAAAGTTGTAAAAAGAGCTATTGCAAAATCATGTTTGAGAGCTTCTTTATTGAAATCCTGTGTTCACAGAAGTTTCAACAGCTTTCTGTGTCAAGTAGATAGGTTAACAAAAGCGGGTTTCCCGAAACTTGTCATAGTGGGGGTAGCGGAGTCAATTTTAAAATTATTCAGGAATCCCCTTAACATACTTGACAATGTTAGACAAAAGCCTGCCTCTCGACCGGTGGTAATACCATATTTGCACAGTTTTTCCCACAGGATCAAAAAAGTGGCTGTTAAATACGGAGTTCCCACAGTCTTTTCAGCACCTTCCAAGCTATCCCGTTTGTGTGCGTCCATTGAGAGAGCAGGACTTCAGCGTGTAGGGTGTGGAATAAACCATCGCATCAAATATGTAGCTTGTGCTGTGGGGGTCGTTTATAAAATACCCTTTTCATGTGGGAAAGCGTATATTGGGCAGACGGGCAGATGTATTAATGTTCGAGCTCGGGATCTGTCTTTGAGGTCTTCACCTTCGGGTCACCTAGCCATTCATTGTGATAGGTGTGGTTGTTCCCCTCGGTTAAGTGACATTGAAATTTTGGCTAAACATTCACAAAAAATGGCAAGGGAAATTCATGAAGCGTTTTACATTCGACAACACGGTCCCGATCTATGCGTCAGTTCAGAGTCAGTGACGTTATACAGTGAAGAGTTCGAGTTTCTTCGGAGTTTAGGCACGTCTCTTTAACACTTTCTTTCTGCTTCCATGGGAGTGATCCTATAACCACAGGCGCGTGCCTACATGCAGCCAGGAAAGGGTTCCGACATACCAAGAGTCCGCGTGCAAGACAGGTACGCACAGAGCATTAGGGCTCGCGCTGTGGTTTTTGGCTTTTTTAATTTGGTTTTTTTGTTGTTGTAATGGTATATAACGTTTAGTTGTGTAAAAAATTCCTCAGATGGCATATGACAGAGAGGATATCCTACATGCTGGATTCTTCTTCTTTTATTTTTCATTTCTTTTTTTCTTATGTTGAAATGTTTTAAAAAGATGAGAAAGTAAGTAAGTCGTGAGTCAGCGCTGTGTCTGTGTCCCTCCTTCTACTTGTCCTTGTGTTTGTTTGCGCTGTTTTATTTCTATGTTTACAATACCTGTAGGCACCCTAAGAATATTCACCGGCGGCCATAGCTGTGTGCGCGAATGCTGAGCGCATGCTGATGACGAGCTTCCGCAGTTCTTTTGCAACGTGCATTCCGCACCATCAAGAGTGCCGGTCTTAGCAGCCTATTGATGTGAGCTCGTTCCGAGCATGCCCTCTAAACAGTACCCACAAATATGGCGTCCAGTGAATATTCCCTATTCACGCCGCGAACACAGTTCTCACGATGCATGGCGGATGCGGAAGCGTAATGAAACTGGCTCTGAGATCGATTTATTCCACTCTCGTGCACTTGACTCGAAAAAGTAATCGATTACAATCACAATTACTCTCGATTAAAATATTCAATTGGATTACTTGATTACTTGAGAAGAAAAGTAATAGGTCATTACTTGATAAAGGAACCGATACTTTTGCGATGAAGTCAGATTTAAATGTAAACATTTCGGCGGAACTCCGCCTGGTTAGGTAAGTAATAAGCAAAAAGTACTACGTAGACTCTAACCAATTTCTTCAATGTGCCCGACGTTTCGAAGCCAGCTCGGCTCCTCGTTCACGGGTGACTGTATATGGGCCCAAAGGTAGCAACCTGTTGTCGCTTTCTCCTCCTCTCTCTTAGCTTTGTTTTCCTCTTCTGTTTATGTGTGAGGCGCACTTTAGCCCGTGTATATAGCTGCTTGGAAGCGATCCACCGGAACGCATCCAAGCAGCGGCGTTAGTTCTTGCGACCGCCACGTACACCACTTCCGTCCATACCCTGGAATAGGTGGTATCCTGGCAGTTCATCGACGGAGCCATAGAGTGCCCGGTCGCAGATTTAGAGCGCGATGATCTGGCAGCACCGAACATTTCTCGGGGAATCTGGTAGTGAGCGCACAGCTTTTGAGCGGCGAGGACCCGAAACACTCTGTTCGCTCGGGAGAAACTGATGCGACTGGCTGTTGATGTCGAGGCTACGGCGATTGGGGCCGCCAACGCCTATGGCGGAGGCTACGCCGTCAGCGTGCTCAGCCTCGTCGTCGCATTGTGCAGCTGCGCAGCGGAAGAACCCGCAGGGAAGAACCGACTATTTTGTTTCGACGTCTTCGACGTTTCGTAGTTTCAGAGGCATCTATCATAGGTGCCAACGTTTTCATCTTCGTCTTCGTCGTCTTCGAGACTACTTCGTCGGGACGAAGACGTCTCGACCAGCTGAGGACGTCCTCTTGACCATCTGCGTTGTCTGGGCAGTTGTCTGCTCAATGGCGCATTGGCCGCTGAAAACTCCAAGCAGGGGATGCTGACCTTTCGATGCTGTTCCCGTGTATCAATATCAATATCAATGCTCCCCACACAAATCCGCTCTCCTCACCTTTACGCCCCCTCGCCACAACCCCCCCCCCCCCCCCCGCCAAAAAAAAAAGAAAGAAAAAAACAACTTTTTTTACACTTTGACCCAATACCACACACACAAGAAATTTGACTTTTAGGCCTCACCCTCACACACAACAGATCACTCGCACCGACACTCCAACACGTAAAGAAATATGTTACCCAAACTACGCACCTTATTGGGAGGATCGTTACTAAACATCAAGGAACAGGACCGCCTCCGACTCGTCCACAGTTTTCTACTCAACCGTATCCTATACCAGCTACCCTACCTTAACCTTACGCCCATCCAACTTGACTCCCTTGATGCGCTCCTCAGGAAGACATATAGACATGCACTCCTACTCCCCCTCACGCCCCAACGCACCGCCTGCTCGACCTCGGCATACACAACACAATACGCGAACGCCTAGACGCCCACCACATGTCCCAATTCACCCGCCTCGCATCCTCGCCCACAGGGCACTACATTCTTAACTTTATACCCATACCCCCCCCCCCCCCCCCCCCACCATCCCAATCCCCCACTGCCCATTCCACCGCACATACGTTACCGCATCCGAGTCCACCCCATCCCTCGCCTCATGCACCCAAGTTTCCATGCAGCCCGGCGACTAGCACGAGCCAACACCCACGCCAAACTATACCCACCATCACCATGCACACTATACACTGATGCCACACCCTACTCTCACAAACCTGCACACTGTGTAACTGTTCGGGGCCAACAGCCACCACCAAACGTCACGGCGGCCACCATCCTCCCTACGAACACAACCACGGCGGAGGGAACGGCCATTGCCTTTGCGCTCGCCCAGAGCCCCACCCCCCAATTCGTCCTATCTGACCCTCAGCAGGCCATCAGCAACTTTATTCGCGGCAATATCTCCCCCATGGCGTTCCAAATTCTCACCAACAACCCTCCATCCGACACCGTGACCCTGCTGTGGACACCAACCCACACAGGCGTAGACGCTAATGAGATGGTGCACGATCGTGCTCGCGAACTTATCGACCGAGCCGCCATTTCAACTACGCCTACACGCGATGCCCCTGCAGACAAGCCTATCTCGCTCCTGTAATACAGGGATATTACTCTGCACTACCACCTCCTCCGCCGCCAATACCCACCCCCGCACCCACATCTCTCCCATGAGGCAGCACATATATGCTGCGCCTCCTACAAACACACACTTCCCCCACCGAACACAACTAATACACACTCATCCACACCTCTTTACCACCCCCGCCTGTCCTGCCTGCGGGCACTCGACACTCACTACCATTCCCTTTGCGAATGCCCCGCAGACCCATACCCCCCTCTTCCCTTCCCTCACCTCTGGGAGCAAATGTTGCGCGACCCAGAGGAATCAGGCCAAGTCCTGACCACCTCCCGGGCCCTGGCGGTCGCGGCGGCCATTTGGTCCTCCACCACCCCCAATACCTGATCCCGGGAGACCAATAAAATTTCCTCCTCCTCCTCAATATCTGTAATCTGTAATCAATCAGCCCCGGCAGTTTGCCGCACAATTTTGAGCGCAAACGAAACAGGCGAAACCGAAACGGAGGAACGGGGAAGAATTGGCGTTCCATTTACCCTCGCCAACAGGAGAAAAAAATAAGTATAGAGTGTTTTCGCGTCTCGACGCAGCGGGGCGCCCGATATGACTCTCCTCTTATCCGTTGTTTGCCGCTCTGCCATATCACTTTTGGCTGCCGCATCACGTGACTATCTGCCAGGCTTTGTCGGCATAGAGGAGGATATGGTGGTGTTTACTGGCGGCTATAGACGCTGTACACACGCGCCAAATTACATCCGCCATTGCTGACCTTCTCTTGTTTTACCGAGACACCTAGCCATCAAAGACGGGCGTTAACGAGTCTGCAGAAAGACCAATGATGGGGGGAAGGACACGGTAGGATCTAAAATGGCATTGATCTGGCCTGCTATGCTAATGACGAAGGCGAGCGAACGGAATAAGAGGAAACAAAAACTGAAGGTCGGTTATGGCGGCGCCCATGCACAGCTGCTGCAAAGCGTCTATAGACGCTTTGCAGCAGCTGTGCGTGGGTGCCGCAATAAGCGACCTTCAGTTTTTGTTACCTCTCATTACAATTACTTCACTTGATCATTACCACAGCGGGGCAGGTTATTGCCCTTTTAGGTTCTGCTGTGTCTTTCTCCACAGCACCGACCTTTGTGAAGGCTCGTCAACGCCCGGTTTAGTTGCTTGGCATCTAAGAAAGACAACTGAAGGTCATCAATGGCGGCTGTAATTTGGCGCGTGTGTAAAGCGTCTATAGTTGAGTCCGCTGTTGCTGAGCGCGAGCTCACGATCAGCTTCCACAACGCTTCCGCAACGTGAACTTCACACCACCAGATTGTAAGTCTCCGTAGAAGATAAGCGGGATATCGTTGTGAGCTGAACGCAGCACTCAAGTATGGCGTCCAGTGAATACCTCCGATAGGGACCTGCGAAACTGAGGCGGTGCTAGTAACGCTGGCCAGAAGGTCCAAGAAATCCGGCGGTAGCTAAAGAATGCTATCGTGTTTATACCAAAATTACATTCATGCGCGACCGATTTGCATATTAAGAAGTGATCAAAAATTGCGACACTTACCATTGTCACAGAACGACAAATGGCACTACTGAACCTTGCTGAATATGTTCGATCCACGGACGGCGCTTGTCAGCCACTCGAAAGTGATGGGTTCCAGAGTGGACTGAGTGGACAAGCGGGACTGGCCGGCCGCTCGTCTACGCGGTACCTTATCGCTCGCGGGTGACTGACAAGCGCCCTCCGTCGTTTGACCATATTCAGCAAGATTCGATAGCGTCATCTGTCGTTGAAGGGTCTATGGTAACCGCCGAATTCAGAAACCCCACTCAAACTGAAGGGCCCCTCCACTTCCTCGAGGAAGGCGCGAGGGCCGGCGCTGGATAATCGCGACGGCGGATCCGTCCACGCGATTGGCCAGCGCCGGCCCTCGCGCCTTCCTCAAGGAAGTGGAGGGGCCCTTCAGTTTGAGTGTAGTTTGAGTGAGGCATGGATGTAATTTATGTTTTTCTGAGGATGCTTAGAGCTCGTAGATTTAGTTATAACAACGAGAATCTAAAAAAAAACACTTTAGTGCCGTTTTATGTCTGTTTCAAGTCGTTTCATGGCGCCTTTGAGACTTCGATGACACGATCTGACACTACTGTTTTCTACCTCTGCCGTCCGCTTCACTAGAAGACGAAAAAGGCGAAGAAAGCAACAACAACAAGACTTTACCGGGATCGGCGGCATTTTTCTTTTTTCTAAATTTCCTGGGTATTTGGTGTTTCATTTTATCTGGTATTGTTAACTCTCCCTTTAAAATCTTTTGGTGCGTGGGCTTTTATCAGATTTATTTCGCACGATCAACTGTGTACTCCTAAAATCAGAGTCTCAAACCATACCGTGTACAACAAGAATATATAGCTTGCATGTAGAGTCATTGGAGGCCATGCCAGTATTTTATGTGCCACAAGAATTCGGTTCGCCTCGTTAGTTTCAAACCGCAGGAGTTGTAGTCTGAAGGAACAAGTAAGTCGGAAAAACCGTCAGTACCTAGCATTGGCGACGATTGCAAGCTATGTATACGAATTAACCGTATACCCGTCATTCTGCAGAATAGCCATGGTTATTCTCATATATATATCACAAAATGTGTCGGTGTCAAAGAAACGATTATCAGATCACAATCTCTAGCATTGGTATTATGGATATGAACACTACAAACATACTATCTTTTGCAAGTTTTGGCGAGCGGACTCCCGGCGATGTCGTATCCAACAAAAGGGAGCCAGGACTACCCTTTAGGCTACAGAGCTCCGAACCGGGCGCCTCCAGGACACCCTTCATGGGGAGCACCGGGATATCCTGCTCCTAGGAGCGGCCAGAGCTATCCTGCCTCCGGTGGGTTCCCCCCACCCGGCGGCATATCCGGAAATCCTCACTGTCAAAGAGGTAGCCATGGGTACGGAGGACAAGGATACCCCCTTCCTGGAGGGCCAAATCCATTTCCTAGTTCGCAAGGACAAGTTTCTGGTAGATTTGGCATATCTGGGCAAGGATATGGCGGACTTGGTGCTGGATATGGGACCGGCATCAGCGGGGGAGGTGGGCGAATTGACATGCCACAGGTACCCCCCGGCCTTCCGAGCCATACGGTATGTCTTAGAAGTGCTTTCATCCTTCGCAATCATTAGGAAATGAACATTTCGACGATGCACAAGGATAGCTAGTTGTATTCGGTGCTATTTGTGACCGGATGGGAGTCTTCTCCGTTTCGCCTTACGTCCATGCGCAGCGGATGTTACGAGCCACCGGAGCCAATCCAAGGCCATGTGAGTGTCACGTGACCTTGGAAAGGGAGCACAGCGACGCGCGGAAAACGAATCACGGGCTACGTCCGCAGAACGGGATGGGCTAGAATAGATGGTAGCGCCCCCTGCGTCCAGACGTAAGGTTAAACGGAGTATAGGCTTATTTAAGTTGTCGATCACTGTTACTCGGCATGCGAGTCTTCTCGCGAACGTTTGCCGAATCTGGATGCTGAGGGCTATGCCCTCGTTTAAGAGAAATGATTGGTTTAGAGACCAAAAAATGTGTTAACTCAGATTGTTACAACTTCATGAAAGAACCATTTTTTTTTCCTCCTTCAAGACACACGTATATGAGCCTATAGTTTGAGCGATTTTCCTTTGACACGACGTAGCTTGAAGCTTTATGCCGCAACTATACTTCAGCTAAGAGCTTTGCAGAATATATTCGTAGTGTTGCTCTGCTCACTGATGCAGGTCTATGCACCTTTTGGCGCGCAGACAATGCTAATCACCGATACAACAAACTTTAAAAAATGCTGTTGTTTATAAGCAGAAAAACAAACAAATCCTCGCGATAAAGTTGATGTGCTCATTCGGGCTTTACTCTCTTTTGTGTACCTGAGGACTCACTAGCCTCGAGAATAACGCACTAGTCAGACATTAACCTGCACTCCTGATCCTACTCAGTAACTTTTGTTGTGTGTAAGCTTTACATGCGATGTTAGGCTCACCTACTTTGTCGAGTGAACACTCTTATAGGCAATGTGATTAGTCCGCCAATAATATCGCCCGCAACCCAGGGATGCCAAGGATGCTACGGCCACCCTTCTGCAGGCGGTCATGGATTTTCGCCCCCTGGTTGCGGATACTCGGGGATGACTTCAAGGCCCCCACCACCGGGATTCTTAAACCAAGATGGAAACCCACCATATGGAGTAGAATGGTCTCCTTTACCTGGAGGACAATGCTATCCTCCACCGGTAGGAAAAGGTTATCCCCGAGGGGGAGGACAAGGGCATCCTCCACCTGAAGGACACGGCTACCCTCCTTTGAGAGGACAAGGATATCTTCCACGGGGCGGACAGAGCTATCTTTCACCGGCCGGACCAGGTTATCCTCCACCGGGAGGACAAAGACATCCCTCACCGGGCGAACAAGGCCGCCCTCCACCGGGCGGACAAGGTTATCCTTCACCTGGAAGACAAGGCTACCCTCCATCGGGCAGACAAAGCTATCCTTCACCGGGAGGACAAGGGTACCCACCATCGGGAAGATAAGGCTATCCTCCACCGGGATGACAAGGCCCACCTTCGGGTGGGCAAGGCTACCCTCAACCGGGAGGACGGTGCAACTTTACGGTTGGGGGTGAATGCTACTCCGCTTCAGGAAGTTATACCTTTACGGGCGGACCACAGCCTCAACGCATGACGAATATCCCGAAGGATTTAACGAACCGGAGCAGCGGAAGAGTTTATACTGTCGATTCCTGAGTTAGCGCCGAGTAAAGAGAAAAACGTACAGACCCGGAGCACCAGGAATCAACGGACGGTCTTCAGCGCCGCCTTATTCCGCCGTTTAAAGGAAGTTGAACCTCCGCGGTTTCTCTTGAAACAAAATATGCATAATTAGGGTCCAAGTCATCAGTAAGGGTAGTCTATTTTTGGCTGCTGCTATGAACGCTCGAAACATGTATCACCTCTCTAGGCGGAGAGCGAGGCTACCAAAAGAAAGGAAAAGGACCCTCTGGAGGCTGTCTGCGTCATTTGCTACCATTGTAGAGAGGAACAAATTCGAAAAACCGAATAGACCTATTTCTAAATTACCCAAGCATCAAGGATAACGCTCGGCATGTAAGTCTACGCCCGCAGCACGCGCTCGCCTTCCCTGTACAAAAAATTCGAAGTAAATAACCAAAATAAAGCGTTGACGAACGCGCGTGCAAGATGCCATTTATTTTAGACATTTGCTTTAGAATAACTGCTGCAGACGCCAGCACGTGCAGCGCGTGTAACTACGTTGGCACCACCTGGTGCTTGGGTATTTTAGCAAATGGTCTATTACGTAGTGGAACTATGGATAAAATTTGGCTATCGTTCACCCTAACCAAGCCCTGCACGCCGTTTTAATTCTTTTTTGACAGTTTGTAACTTTCTTGATATGTACTCTACAGTCATAACGTTATGTGAAATTAAATAACTGCTTTCTGATTACAATTTAATGTCTCGAAATTACGTTCTTTCTTACTTGTTGGTTAATTATCTAGCTTGTATTGGAACATAGTCTCTGATATTGACTTTTTTTCTAGTTATAATGTTCCAACGCTGACGATAATTTACTCTATAGCGGCCTGTCGGATATAGCGAATTAAAAAAAATAATTTGTACAACAAAGTATATTTAAAAATATATAAAGTTTATACTTGCATTATTTCCTCATGCTATAAAACGGAATCACGTCAACTAACGAAAATAACGAGACATGAAATTACGAAGCATGTTTTGATATGACATTTTCTAGAAACGGCATATTGATAGATTACACAAGAAGTTTAGTATTCAATCTCAAACTTTTTTCCCATTCAGTTACGATAAGTTGCAGTTTTTGCTAAGAACAAATACAGATGGCGACACTTGTTCAAAAATAGCTTGATTTGCATTTGTCGTCATATGCCGCTTGGAACGCTACGTGAGAGACAGAAATATAGTTCCTGCTCCCTACGGGAGCCAGAGTTGCGCGTTCATCTCCGTAGCGCCGTCTTTCCTGCACGGCATGTTGACCCCGCTCGTCACGTGACTGAATTTGGCGAACAGCGGCGCCGCGCGTTCGAGGCGCACGGCGCGCTCAAAAGCAGTTGAACGTACGCCGGGGCGCGTGCAGCGTCTACTTTCCTGCATGGCAGTTGATCCGGCTGCAGCCGCCGAGGCGGGTGTAGCCCGAAACAACCCATTCCCGTTTGAACCCGTCCCGTTTTGACCCATTCCCGAAACGACCTTCCCGTTTGAACCCGTCCCGTTTCGACCCATTCCCGAAACAACCTTCCCGTTTGAACCTGTCCCGTTTCAACCCGTTCCCGAGACGCCCTTCATATTTGAACCCGCCGTGGCCAAGACATATTTTACGTTCGAATTCGTCTCGTTTGAACCCGTTAATTTGTATAAAACCCCGCGCATCTCAACCTTTTCGCAAAAAGTGTCCATCCTTCTAATCCTGGTTTGCGCAGTTTTTCTGCTTAAGAATATGTCCCAAAATCATGTTAATGCAATTAATACAAAGGTGCCGGCGAGCAATTCAGTTATGTTGAGAAATATTTTTGCTTGTAAACGTATTATTAAAATATGCAATACTTTCAGAAACAGCTTCAAGGAAATATATTTCTACTTGAACCACTTAAAATATTTCTTTCAAGATGGTCCCCAAAATGTGTAATTACAAAATGGACTATGTACACTGCGCGACAACGTTACCACGAACACGATCTTGGCGATTTTTCTAATTTTACTTCAAAATGGTATTAGAGGGTATCACATTTTACCGCTTAGGTTAGTGGCCCAGATGAGCACTTTCAAACACACTAGTAATATTGATGGCAGTCTTCTGATTTTTTTTGTACACAAACAGCTAAAACCAACAATCACTTGTTCGCGCTAACGGTTTCGCGCTCTGTACAATGACAGGGAGGTTTTGTAGACCGTTTTCGAAGTCACGCGACGCTCCTTCGCAACCCGCTACGATACCCAGAACTCTACAGTCAAGGCAACCGGCGCGCAGGTGCAGTAGCGGCTTTTTCGTTGCGGAGGGCTTAGCGAAAGGGGAAACGCGGGCTACGAAAGCACCTGATAAAGTCTTAGAGTAACGCAGGCAAGCACTTTGAGTAAGCAAAAATTAGCGTTGCCTAAGCTTTTATATCGCGATGCTACTTTTAGGTTACCCAAAGCGCTTACGTACGTTATTCTAAAACTTCCTTATAGTGAACGGGATACTTTTTAAAAGTGATAAATCAGACAGGCTGACGGGCATATGACTGCGACTTCATTTTTTTACAAGTTCAAGCACAGAACCGTCGCGTACACAGTCAAAAATCATAAACCACAAAATGCAGTCGCCTTGGTTGAGGAAGTCGAGAAGGAAAATCGCGCCATCAGAAAGGCGGCACTCCAATTGTGATAGTTCGCGGCGTTCACCTGGCCCGCACGGCACCACCATTTGCAAGCTGTTGCAGCGATATCCTTCTCAAGGATCATCCCGTTTGCAGGTCGATGAAGTTGTAAATGTTCGAGTGAGCCCTCCCTGACACAGCGTTTATCTTACGGTGCCATGTCTCCGAGGTTGTTTCGGGAGAGGGAGGAGTGATGTGAGCAAGGAGAAGAGACACTGGACACTTGAACCTAATCAACTGTTAACGAACAATACAAACTAACCGAACGATGGCCGAAGCGGGAAGGTTGTTTCGGGAAAGGGCGAAATGAGAAAGGGTGAAACGGGAAGGTCATTTTGAGACGGGTCGAAACGGGAAAGGATGAAACGGGAAGGTTGTTTTGAGACGGGTCGAAACGGGAAGGTACAAACGGGAAGGTTGTTTTGGGAATGGGTCGAAACGGGAACCACCCGCCGAGGCTTCACCCAAAGCAAATAGCTCGAGCTTTCAGCATGCGCGGCTAAAGGTCCGTTCACACGATGCATCTTTTAGGCGCGCAATGGTTTCGCGACACTCAAGTTTCGCGAAATGTGCTCGTTCACACGTACCGCTTCACGTGCAACAACGATGACGTTTAGACTCGCGAAAATAGTTTGGGTGTTGACCATAAAGTGGCGCTTCATTTGAAAGCCAACATCATCATCATCAC